GGGGTTTCTGCTCACACTCTGAGCTGTACACACTAACACTCTTCTCTGACATGTAAACTGAGAATACGTGAAAGCCGTTTGATCCCAGCACCATACTGAGCCCTTGGTAGAGCAAGCGGCGCTGAAAATCACAGCTATTTACTCCCAGGGTTGGAAGGCCAAGGATAAGTTCAATATTTTATAATTTCATGATAAAAACACTCAATCATGCTAATACACAAAAGGAAAGAGTGAAGGAAGAAACTCTCATAAGGAATTCCATCACGGAATCATACTCCTTAGAGAGTATTAAAAGAGAAACTCCAGTCCTCAGCTCCAGGCAAGGCCGGCCCTCAATACCCTCTTGCAGGCTGCTGTACAGGAGGCCACAGGGAAACCAGGCCTCTCACCTGGGTCCATGTGCCCGTATGCTGCACAGCTGTCTTATTTTCAGGGAAGAGGGCTCCCAGCTGTCAGGTTCTCAGAGGGGTCTGAAATCCGCAGAACATTAAAAACCACACAGTAAAGAATATTTAGGCAGGCCAGGGTAGAGGAGAAATCAGGAGATGCTGTTCACACCCGCTGGCTGCATCAATGCCCTCTGAGCAGCCCCGGAGGGACCAGGGGCTGCAAAGCTCTGTCTTTGGAGCTGGGACCCTCGGCAACCTTGGGTGGTCGGGCCAGCACTGCCCACGCTCCCAAAGCCACCTGGGAGGACGCTCTCTTTGCTCAGACAGCAAATACACCCTGCTTTGAAGGACTTTCCTCCAGGGGGACTTGAAAAAGCCCCGAACAACTGGCCCGCAGCGGGAAGGGGCTCCCAGTGCTGTCTACAGCCCCGGGACCAACCCCAGAAGGGCCCACACAACCAGGAGGGAAGGACTAGGGCTTATGTGAATCCCATGTCATCCCACAGACAGTGTCAGCACAGTAAGGGGCATCCTGGCAGGGGCTAAAAGGGAGACTATGGTGTAACTGGCCTAGCAACAGGAGCCCTGGTGGCGCAGCGGTTAGGAGCTCGGCTGCTAACCAAAAGATTGGCAGTTGGAATCCACCAGCCACTCCATGGAAACCCTATGGGGCAGTCCTTCTCTGTCCTATAGGGTCCCTAGGAGCTGGAATCAACTTGATGGCAATGGGTTCGGCCAAGCAATAGTAGAGCAGTTCCACTGCCTAAAACAGCCCAAGCAAAACAGGATCAGGCCCTAAACACCTGCCTCTTCTCCCTAACACACCAATCCCCGATTTCCAAACTCTTTCATCATTTGCCTCTTTTAAGAACTGATTTCAAGAAATGGAAAAACGGTTAATTAACTGCTTTCTTAACGGTGTAGCCACAGCTGGAACCACAGGAACACCTGGGCCCACGAGCCTGTGTCCTTCGGTAATGTGGAACCCTCGCTGTCTTTCTGGTGGGGAGACGGAGAACGAGGAAGGCGACAGGAAGTGAGATGGATCGATGCTCACTCTGACCATCACCGCAGCCCGCACCTTTCAGGGGGGTCACGGAGGTGGAGACTCATTCACCACGAGGCTTGTAACACCCTCTTGTTGTGAAAACGGTGGAAATTAATGGCTGACCCATTCAGATGCCGTAACTCTGGAAGGCTTCCTCAGAGCTGGACATCCTTCAAAAAGCGGTCTGGGAGAATTTCCAGGACAGTGGCAGGTTGCTTGACAGTTCCCAGCAGTGCCTCCTCGACCCCTCCCAACAAACACACAGCACTCGGGTTACCTGGACAAGGACGCATCACTGTCCTGGGGCACTGACTGCCTCGTACCACCTGAAAAGCATTTCTTCAGGGGTTAGGATGTTGAAAAACTCCAATCTCATAAGAAAGAATGAGGTCTCAGTATACCAGCTGCCCAGCAATTCTTTTCCAGACTAATTATGTTAATATTCAACTATCGCGGTTAATGTTCACCTGAGTTAATAAGCTCTGTTCTCAATA